AAAAAAAAAACTCCCCGGGAACTCCATATCAGATAATAGGCCCTGCGGACCTATATATCCGACGTGTAGCGTTGTTGTATGTGATTAAAATATATCATATTAATAATTTATCATCAATACATAAAGGGGAATATCATGGGGGGAAATACAGAAGTGGTGGATAGAGCCTCCACTAGATAGTGGCTCCCGCTGATGTGGAGGTAGTCCTCTTTCCTGCCAGTTCGCTCGCTATATACTCTCGTGCCGTGCAGCGCAGCAGTTGTCCTTCGGCTCGCTCAGCTGCCTATGATATGACAACGTCCAGGGTGGGGAAGGCGAGAGCCTTCTCAAGGAAGTGTTTGCGAAGGGCGCGAAAGTTCGTATAGTGTTTTCGCCTTCGTTCTGTGTCAGATAGTTGCAATGGAGCGAAGTTTTCTCCTATAAACAGGTGAAGAATCGACAGCCCTCAATGATCATGTAACGTTTATCTATGCGACCTTACCTTAGCTAGAGCTCAGAGAAGCGCGACTCCATTGACTCCCTACCCTGGGAGGGGAGGCCTCCCTACCCAGGGCGGGGGATGGATATACCTCTAAAACCAACGGTCATGTAAACTATCACCCCGCTATTCACTATATTATTCGACTGAGTGCTTATCCCCCTTATTTCTACTGCCGAATCCATCAAGTAGTAACTGTGATTTTATTCTACTGCTGCGTCCAACTATCAATTTATTGGTATTGCTGCACTCGTCGCTATGAAGCAGTTGAGGCTTTAATTGAGCAGGTTTTTCTTTCTAGATTTACACCAGTTATCCTGAGCTTTTTTGCATCATTGTCGCAAATTGCGCCTTTCTCATTTTCCCAGGCGAGTAGACGGTAGGTTTACATTCCTTTGTAGCTCCGATTCACGTAGCCGCTTGTGAAACCTTAGTTTCCAAAACATAACTTCATCGGAGATATTTTTGTTTACAGAGAAAGATTTCTTAGCATCAATAGGCACGTAACCTGACCGTATTTAAGCCTCATGTAATGCAGATTCAGGGGTGGATTCAGGACGCAGTCTTCTCGACTCATTCTTCGACGTAGCTTCTCGACTCAATCCTCGGCTCAATTCCCGTCGCAATACTCTCCTCAATTCTCGACGCAATTCACAATGCAAGTCTCGACAACCTATAGTCTTCGCCTTCTGTGTTTCACTCCTTCTCGGACGTCTACTCTAAGTCATTCTCTGGAACGTCTCTCGTACACGAAATAAACCATTTTTATTCACGGCGTGGCAGTCAAGTGTACCCACAATTTGGTGCATCGGGATCAAAGTCAGGTCGGTTTGCTTAATAACAATTTCCAGTCCGAGACTTGATCCTTTCAATACCTTTTCCGTTTTCGTCTTTGGCTACTCATCAGTTCAGAAGGAAAGACGTCTCCTCCTTTTCACTTCTTATTTCTCTCGAGAAGTTTGCTCTCCCATTCTATGATTCATTAATATGTCTCGTATGATAACGGCTCAGAAGCGGCTTGTAACTCTTCATGTCAATAAACTAACGCACATCGTCTCTAAGATCAGGGAAGAGAGCCTACATGAGGAACCAATAGGTAGCAGTCTGACGGGAATTTCATTAGGTGATGTAGTAGCTCATCTACACGAAACCATTACTGCTATAACGTTTGCTTCATCCAAGGTAGAGGCCTCATGGAAAGAATTTGCGTCCATATCCGGTTCAGGCCCAAAAGAGGAAGAAGAGACTAGCGACTATGAAGCCTACACGACAAAGGCTGAGTCTGCGTTAGCCGATGCCTAAACCTAACAATACTGTTGGGAGCTAGGCTTCAAGCACTAGCAACGATGAATCTGCCACCCGCAGTGCAATCAATACCAAATCAAAATGCCTCGAATGTTGTTTCGAGGCCTATCTCTGCTCCAATACCTAGACCGTTAGAGCTTCCTCCTCTCCCAATCCCAACGTTTACGGGAAACGTGTGGGAGTTAGATAACTTTTGGGAAATATTTAATACAAACATACGTTCCCAGGACCTGCCTGAGATGGTAAAATTCAACTACTTATAAAACGCTCTCAAGGGAAGAGCTCGTGAGTCAATACGAAAATTCCAAATCTCCATAGGAAGTTACAACAGGAAGATAGAATTCCTTTTGGCTAAATACAATAATAAGGAGCTCCTAGTCAATACCTTAGTAGATCAACTCGACGCTTGTGCACTTAAAAGTCCGTCAATCAAAGATCAGCGCAGTCTCCTAGAGGAAATTAAAGTAATCATGACCCAGCTAAAAGAGAAAGGGGAAGATACAAGCAGTTCATGGCTTTTGAAAAAGGTTCTCACGAAATTTCCAGACGAAGTCAAGCGGAGAGTAATCACAAGAAAACAGAAACTCCCCAATGGAGTCCCCTTCACTATGCTCAAATTATTTCAGTACCTAGAGGACATACTGTCGACAGAAGAGATGTTTCTTCTAATTTCGGAGAAAAATTCAGGACAGCAACGTTCACAGACAGTCGTTAGAAAATCAATCCCTTCAGCAGGAAAGTACTGTATGTACTGTAAGGATGGACATGCATCTGGGATTGTAAAAAGTATCCTACCCCCCAAGAGCGCTCTCAATATCTCCGTAGCAATAACTTATGCTTGATTTGCACTTCAGCATCCCACAATACTCTTTCATGTAAAGGCCGACCGTGTTTCCAGTGTAAAGGTGCACATCATACATCATGTTGTTTTAAGATAGGGATGAGAGCAGTACCGGGGCATAGAAGAGAACCAGGGGACAGCAACCCACAAACACCACCGAAACCTCAAGATAAAAAGATCAATAGGTCAAATAAAAAGGACAGTAGAAACGCTCCTCCATCACAGTCTCATGTTGTTACCATACTTGACAGTACTCAATCCGAGTCCACCAAGTGCATCTTAACTTGGTGGAAACCTGGAGAAGCAGTCTTAAGGCTGGGCCTCCTACAGGGCAAATCACAGTCATGGATCACAAGACCAGGGTCCTATCCAAAGTGAATGTCCTAATTGATACGGGGGCCGAAGTTTTCTTTGTGGATTCCACCCTAGCGGAAAAACTTCACCTCCCCATACTTGAAGAAACTTCAGTAGTGACCAATACTTTCGGATCCAAAGAAAATAGGTAATGTCTGCCTAAACGCGTCCGCCTCGACGCATGGGACAATGAAGGTATCCCACATTCTTCGGAACTCTTGACACATGATGGTTGAACACGTTCGCTCAGGTCTCCGACACTCCCACTCAAAGATATGGAATTTGTTAAAACACGAAATTGACCAATAAGTTTAGACAACGGGACCAATCAAATCCACCCCTAATTCTCCTTGGCTGCGACCATTTATGGTCCTTCGTTCGATGTGATATACCACCAATAGAATTACCATCTGGTCTCCATGTCTTGCGTACAAAGAAAGGTTACCTAGTTTTGGGAAAGGTCTTACCAAAAGAGTAAAAACTTCAACAGATACAGCAGGCTCCAACAGAATCACTTCTTAGAGAAACTGAACTTTGGGACCAGTATTGGTCAATGGACCCATTAGATTATAAATACAATCAGTGCGGAGATACCCCAGGATGAATAGGAAAATGGGACCAATACTGGACTATAGAAGCGGCGGCTACAGGCAGTTTGGCGGTTCAGAAAATGAGGCACGGAGAGAAACAGATAAGAAGGTTTGGCAACAGTTCTATGAAACCATCGAACGACGTGCAGACGGGTATTATATTCGACTCCCGTGGAAGGAACTAGCCCCTCATCTGCCGGAAAAAGCCTTAGCAAATCAACGGCTTGTTAATGTCTACGCCGCTCTCAGTAAAAATGAACTGCTACTGCGCGAGTACAATAACGTATTTCAAGACCAATTAGCGCAACA